CTGAGTTCGATGTCTGATGCCGTTTTGTCTGAAGTCTGACGGTTTTTTTCCTGACACCCGAGTCCGTTTTGCCTGAGTTCGATGTCTGATGCCGTTTTGTCTGAAGTCTGACGGTTTTTTTCCTGACACCCGAGTCCGTTTTGCCTGAGTTCGATGTCTGATGCCGTTTTGTCTGAAGTCTGACGGTTTTTTTCATAAGACCTGAGGATGTCCTAAAATGAACACCGTACCTACAGGGTCAATATTCATATTTAGGCTACTATAACCAAACCTTTGGTCACTAGTGCCGATGCCAAACATCGGTTTCAATGGTGCCAGCAGTTCAAATCTTGGGCTGTGATAACGTGAAACATGTATTGTTCTCTGATGAGTCCACCTTCACCATCTTTCCTACATCTAGAAGAATTACGGTGTGGGGAAACCCAAAACGGGGGGGTAGTGATGGAAGCCCAACACCATACTAATAAATTACTGTGGTCTAAAACCAGTTGTTTCAGTTTCACTGTGCAACTCCTGTATGTGCCTGAGTAAGTGTGATGCCTTTACTGCAAGCCTCTCACCCTATTCCAAAAAGCCTGAGACAGAGCCATTAGCTTCCATACCCAGCCACCACATTATGAGAACTACACCACAACACAGGACTGAGCTCCTCAACCAAGGTTTATGTAGTGAACAGTAAGCACCCATCTGCTCCGTGCCTGCTGTGTGAAGAAACACATTTCAAAACACACAGAAGGCAAAAAACAATGAGCTGTGAACTGGCCATTACCCTAGCTACCCTAGCATTTGTTGTAGGCAGGCTACAACAAATGTAATCAACCAGAAGGTGGAAAAAAATCCCCAGAATTCACTGTATAACCCCAAGCAAAAAAATCACGTTCAATGTCAAGCGGTACTGTCCTAGCCAGTTATATGACTATGCAAATCAATCATGCCTTTATGGAGCACCCATTATGTATGACGGTTAGCAGCAAACATTGCGGTCTGAAGGCATTCTTTGGATTTATTCAAACATTAACCCACCCAGATGTAAGAAAAAGGCAAATGACTCATCACACCACTTTTCTTCCTATTATGGAGGGGTCCAGTTCTCGTGCTCTGTACACCAGACTATGCACCTGTACGCACGATGCAATAATTTTCCCATAAATGACAGCTTTATGTGACGCAGTTTTTTGTCGACACTGGTCCACGTAGGTTCCGAGGTAATTTTAACCATACTTTTGTGATGTGTAAAAATGATCTTGTTAAGGCTTGGTCGATCCTTGTCAATGAGCTTTGACCTGCAACCATCTTTCCTCTTCATCGGTACAGCCTGTTTTTTTGTCACAAATGCACTGGTAATTCAAGCACCAACTATTTGACCTCTCTGGATCCTTGTTAGCTGGCTCAAGTTGCTTTCAAAACTCAAATATCAAAGAACTGATTGTCAGTCCTCTTTTATAACTGACATGCAGCCCCAATATGACTCACTGAGGTAGCCGTGTTTGTAACCCTGATTTAGCTACTTGCAAGTTAAAGTCATTTTTATGTGGAGTTTGTTATCCTGTCCGTCACTGTAACAGCTCATTTTCCACTGACTAGTGAAACAAGCAAACAAATACAATTTAAAGGCTTTTAATTGAAAAGGTATTGTGGGGACAGGATCTCTGTACAGTCTTATCCTGATTATCATGTGTTAAACATTGCTAAACATCATGTGTTATACATTGTACTGTGTTTAGAGGCCAAATGTTTGATTTATGCAAATAACAATCCTGTATACCCTATGAATTTAGTCTCAAAAGAAAATTTGGTGTGTGTGTGTGGGGGGGGGGTTCCAATGGTAAATATACAAAGTAGGCCTACTAGGTATGCACGAATGAGAGTGACGGTTATATATATATATATAAATAAAAGACGTGCTGCCTGGTCAAGGTTACTAAGTGTAACAATGAATAAGGAAGAATTCGGTAATATCGGCAGCTGTCAGCTTCTGGCAAGATGCAGCCACCTCCAAATCGGTGCCTCTCAAAAGGCGACAGCAAACCTCCATTACGCTCCACCGAGATGAACAGGGGTGTGTCTGCAAAGCCGCCCTGGACACCGAGCGAGGCCAGGCTGTTAGAGCCCATTTGAAGGTGTTTGGCCACACAGTGATCGCTCGGTTTTACGTAATTACAAAAGTCCACATTTCTCAGTTCAACTAGGTTCAAGAAGTTTGAATAAAGGGTGACAACCAGCAAAGTTTTACATTATAGCTCTCGGGTGGATTAGAGGTAATTCATTCTCAACATAAACTGATGAGTCGTCGTCGTGTGTATGGTTTTGGTAATTTAACGATTTCTTTCTTAAGGGTACAATCGTACTCCTGACCTTAAAGAGCTCAAAACAGTATTACGATGCCAGCGTCACATTCACAGCACTTTTAGTTTTTTTTGTGTGATTCCTTAAATTTCATCATTCATATGCAGAATCAGCCTCCCACATGCTCCCAAAATGCCTGCATGCAACAAAACTGAATGAAAATGCTGATTACTTGGGTACCTGACCAAAATTTCGCAATCTATAATTACGTGTGCCTGGAAGCCAGACTACGTATAAAAGTTCTGTAACAAAGGAATAATGACTACTGCATAAATATAATCAAATAACAATATAAAATGTTTCTGGATAAAATTATAAATGACTTTCTCTGAAAGAACTTATAAGATATACATAAATGGGTATTATTTCTTGCAATAAAGATGTGTAGCCTAATCAGAGGTCACTTACTTTTTTGAAGTCGGCGACAAAAGTAATCAAGGTGCCATCACGTTGCTTGAACTCCAGGGTGATGATGTCCTGCTCGCTGTCCGCTTCCAGCGTCTCCTCTGCGACCTGGCCGTCCACCAAACGAACCCTCACCTTCAGTTCTGAACTAAACACAGACACTCCGAGCAGTAGATGCACCAAAATAACTACATTAATGTAAAGTGAAATCGGCAAATTCCACCCAGCGAACATCCCAAAAACGTAAACTACAGCAGAGTCAGAAAAACGCGTTGAAAAGATTTATCCGGCGTTCCAAATTAATTTGCAATTAAAGCTTCAGTTTATCACAGTGCGTGCAGAATATATGCTCTCCATAAACAAAGTATACGACGAGTAGGACGTCTTCCTCTATTTTACGGCAAAGCGATGAAGGTACCATCCTGTACAGGTTGCAAAAAAGTTAAAGGAAAGTGCACGCCTCCGTCGAAATACTGCCGTGTAAATCTAGGTTTTCAAGTCGATCACAACTTATTTGGAAAGAACGAGGTACTCCGTTACTGCAACACGACTTTCCGAAAATCTTGCACTCTTCTTTTCTAATTCAGTCTTTTCGATCGACTGTTTTCAATTGTTTATTGCGATCCCCCCCATTCAGTCCGTCACTTCCTGAAGACTCGTAATTGAACGTGCTTTATCGCTTGAATTCCCAAGTTTCAGGTTCAGCGCTACAAATGGCAGCGAATCGTATTCTTAAAGGCACATCACCACCCGTTACTCAGGAGGTGGAGTCTGTTGCCTAGGCTAAGTTGTAAAATAAACGTTAAATAAAGGTTCAACGCTTGTGTCTAGAGGCACTTGAAAACGCATTACATTATGGCGATCAGCAATTTTTATTCGATAAACAGAGGAACCAATAAGCACTGAGCTGAACTGTCGTCGGTCCACTTCTTACAGTTAGTAGGTACTTTTAAATAACCTTATATGCATTTAACTAAGGTTCCCTGGAGAATGTCAGAAAACAGCAACGGGGGAGAGATAAGATGATTACATGGGGGCACTAAGGGAAAACACAGCTTTAAACGAAACCGCCATTATGGCAGGGATCCCATTGGAAGTTTACAAACAAAAACAAGAGAAATAGAAAATGATTCTTTGTCCCTGTGATCCCGCATTCATTTACATTTAGCAGAAAAACAGAAATGTTTTGATGTGACATATCAGCTAGTCTTTGTGACAATCAGTCTGGTACATTAAATGGCCCATTACCTCTGTGCATGTGGGGGAAATTCCTTGATCTTGGCCTCCTCTGATGGTTTATCTGCAATAAGGCACATGCTGGGTGGCCTGACACAGGGACCGCAGGCCCAGGTGGGACAGAGGAACCAACAGCATTGCTGCTGTTTGGGGTCCACAGAATGGCAGAATGTAAGCAGCTGTGAATGAGTATGATTTTTGCTGGTTGGGGATGCATTCTATTTGCTGACCTGTGGTAAACGTAGTGAACTCCACTGAATTGTGTAATCTCTTCTGATTGGAGGAGAACTCTAAAGAACGAAGCAATGTCTACTGAATGAAAGGATCTCTACTGAATGGAGGGAACCCTACTGAATAGATGGAACTCCCCTGTTTGGAAGGAACTCCACTGAATGTCGGGAATTATTGAAAGGATGGAACACTCCTGCCTGAGAAGAATCTGACTGAATGAAGGAAACTACTGAATTGAGGAAAGTACTTAATGAATGGAACTCTATTAAATGAAGGAAACTCTACTGGATGAAGGATCTCTTGACTAGAGGGAAATGTACAGAATGCAGACAACCTTACCGCTGTCTCTGCTAATGATCACTGTAACCACTGAAGCGAAACACTGAACACTATATGTTTCTGGCTGTGTTTATCTCCATCTAGGTTATATGCTTTATATTATTCTGAGTAATTTATACATCCTATAAAAACTGCAGGCTTCCTAACACAGAATCCATCAAAAACAAATAAAACATTTACACTTTAATTTGTGTGCAGAATAGCTGATAAATGGTCTAGCAGAAATACGCTCAGTCCACATATTATTAATTCATTCTTCTTTGAGACGATACTGAATGCCAAACTTATAGGAGTCACGTGGCTTTGAGAGTCAGGAAACGAGTCGAGTGCTTTAATCATTAACCAAATACTCAACAATCCGCATATACAGCATATAAAGGGCAATGGACCTGTTGATTCTGACGGTTACAGTTACCTGACACAGCAGTGCTCACCTTTGTTTGGCAGTAAGTGCTGCTGCACTTGAGAAGCATTTTATCCCGAGTTAAAGCAGGTAACAGCCACTCAACTGGCCCCTAAGGTTGATTCATCAATTCCAATTGACATAGGTAACAAATTTTTACAGTGAGGCTATCAGTGTTTCACAGAAGCAATCTGAAATACATTCAGTCATAGCAGAGGAAGCTTCACATTTCTGAGAACAATATAAAAATCCATAAATCTGGGCATATGATATGGCAGAGACCATGACGTAAGAGAATTGTGGAGTTGTGGGTTAAGGATTGTTTTCTGTAGGTTGTAGAGAAGTGTGGGATCACGTCCTTATTTATGAAGCTTGTACTCTGTTGAAACTCACACTCTGATAAGGTTTGGCAGGAGTTGGTTAACGTGGTCATTTTGGTTAACGTGATCATGTGACCAGAGGGATGCCATTTCAAATCACAGGGGTTACAGCTCTAATCATGTGTTTTTCCTCTGAGTTTCTAACAATGTTCCTCAGAACACATCTAGCAGTAGAAATAGGAAATAAGTAAGACCTAGTGATGTAAACCACATCACTTGTGATGGCTGTCATCTCTGCACTGTTTTCAGGCCCAAACTCAGTCCTTTTCCAGGTTTAAGCTTCACACTGCCTGTGGTCAGTCCTTACTGAGTTGTGCTTACTGCCACTGACAGGTAGTTAATGAACATGTTCGTTCACAATGCGTTGCAAAGCAACATGATCACATGATAAGAGACATTGGATCATTGCGTGCTCCACGTCTTCCTTCTATAGAATGCTCCAGATCCATCTCCATGCATATGCTGATAACAACATCATTACACAATATGGGCTTGTAGAAACAACAACAACAACGCAGTGAATTGGTTCATTGTGTTATTTTTCCATAGATCATTCTATGCACATTTTTTTGAAGGAATCTAGTTTTCGATTGGTCCAGGTAGTGAGAGTGTATAACTTAAGCCATTGGTCCTTTGAAGTCCCCAACCCCCCACTGATCCAGTTGTTAGCTCAATGTCTGCTGCAAATGGTTCGCAGATGGCAGGGCTCAGTTAATCTGAGGATTCACAGGGATGGATGAAAAAGGCCAGAAGTTTTCTGTAATGATGGTTTGTGAGAGACCATACCAGATCCAGTGAAACTCCCTGCTGGGTGTAGGAGCTCTGGGCCGTGAATATAAATAGTCTTGTTTGGACACTGAGTGTGTGTGTGTGTGTGTGGG